GTTCCCCCAGATGCTGGTGGTCACCCTTGATAAACTTGTAGGTGGCCATCAGATCACCCCTGAGCCTGCGCTTTTTCAGGCTAAAGAGTCCCAGGGCTCTCAGCCTGTCATCGTAGGGTCTGCTTCCCTGACCTCTGATCATGCGCGTGGCTCTTCTCTGGACTCTCTCAAGCTTCTCCACATCCTTTTTGAATTGTGTAGCCCAAAACTGGACACAGTACTCCAGCTGCGGCCTCACTAAGGCTGAGTACAGGGGGAGAATGACGTCCCGGGATTTGCTTGAGAAGCATCTATGGATGCAAGCCAGCGTTTTGGTCGCTTTACTAGCCGCCGCATCGCACTGCAGGCTCATGTTCATCTTGTGGTCAGTGATGACCCCCAAGTCTCTTTCTTCCATAGTGCTAGCCAACATAGCACTGCCGAGCCTATAAGGATGCTGCGGGTTTTTCTTCCCAAGGTGGAGAACCTTGCATTTATCGGCGTTGAACACCATCAGATTCTCGTCCGCCCACTTGCTGAGCCTGTCCCGGTCAGCCTGGATCACCCGCCTGTCTTCTGGTGCGGATGCTTTGCCCCAAAGTTTGGTGTCATCGGCGAACTTGGCCAGTCCGCTTCTGACTCCAGTGTCCACATCATTAATGAAGATGTTGAACAGTATGGGCGTTGAACACAATATTTTATTGATATAGTTACAATTTTAAAGTCATCTGTAAGCCAAACCGTACCTCAATCCTTGTAATAAAATAATTTCTAAATACCTCTTTATTTTGGCATTTGATTTTGGTTTTTTTACCTGGAGGGAGCTGTTCTTCACTTCCTAGCTGCCACATGCATATATGCACGGGGGCATGCTGCATGTGGCATCCCCTACGTCCCTGTCCTCCCAGCCCCATGCAGCCCCTTGCAGGCTGGAATTCGGCCAACCTGCGAAGGGAAATCCGTAGTTTTCCGTGGTTTTCTCCTTTAAAGGTGGAAAATCCACACTTTTCTCCTTTTTAAGGAGGAAATCTGTATTTTTCCATGGCAAATGGAAAACCCAGATCCATGATTATCAGCCCTTCTGAGGACTGCAACCTTCTCTCAGAGTTTTTATCAGGAATTTCAAATCTGGTCTCCCTCATTTTTTCTGGGTTCATTCTTGGAGGACCTAATGTTGCTTTTGAGATCTTTGCCCAGACTGAAAGTGCAGAGGTATTGAATACCCTGTGTTTTGTAAGCTACAGGTTTGTAATAAGCTGTAATGGTCTATGAAGCATAACTGAAACATATTTTGCTTACCTTTTTCTTTATAGTCAATTGAAGAAAATGAAGTATATTTACCAAATGATGAACTTTGGGTCTATGAAATTGACACTGCATTATGGTAAGTCACATTTTTTATTATTAACTTACAAACTGTGCTGCTTTGACTGATTATTATTATTTATGGTAAAAAAGACTTGTTTCAGCTACATAAACTCGGCCTATTTTGTGTTTCTATAAACTTGTATTCTGTCCCTATCTGTAATATAGAGCACCTGTGTAAGGGTAGGCAAGTTGCTAATTTGTGCTTCTAAGTTTCTGGGTACTTAACTTAGTCAGATTTGCAGAAGTACAAAACACTCAAAACTGCAACTGAAGTTCCTGAAACTGTTCTTGAATATGCAAATACTGTTATACTAAGCACCCTGCAAAGCCAGGTTCTAGTTGTGTCAGACTTGGCACCCAAAATTAGTGAATAATTTTTACTTGAATCTCTCTGCGCCTTATTTTCCCACTTTAAAATGATGTACTTCATCACCTCCTTACAATTTTAGGAACATTTAAATATTAAAAAACCCCATGAGGAAATCAGTGATTCCATAAATAACTGAAAATTAAGTTCGGTCTATCCTTTGTACTAAATGAGGCAGAAATTCTGTGGGGGAAAAATGGCATGTGAAAATGTAATTAAAGACTGGATCATTATGCATAGGCACAAAGAAAGTCCTTTAAGGTTGCACAGGCAGCCTTAATTCTGGTGTTTCTTAAATGTTGAGTGTTTGACCTTGCAGTCTTAATAACGTTCTTTAATATATTTTTTGTTTTCAATATGCTTCATACTTAATCATTTTATGCACAAGATTAATTAGAAATAACTTTTCCACCACATAGCATGAATCTAATACAGTCAACTGTAGTGATCTTTCTGATATTACATATGACCAAAGGTATTACAGCAACCGTGGGACTATATAATCATGTAGTCCCACTTGGTCACTGTCCTGAAACAACTCACAATCTAATTAGAACTAAAAGGCAAGGTTTGTGTAAGAGCAAATGAGTATAAACTAAGCACAAATATAGTTAAGTTGGACATTTGAAGGACCATCAAATCACTGAAAATATGGAACAGACTTTAACTAGGAAAAGTCAGAGAAGAAAAGTCTTCAAATTGAACTTTTAAAATTTAGTATTGCATGACATGGTTGCCTTTTATAGCAGGGTATTGGCTTTGATAACCCAGGAAATTCCTTAGTCGTATTGCTTACATTCTTTCATTTGCTAAACAGTTATGTAGGAACCTAATTATAAGATTTAATGAGTTTGTTGAATTGCAGGACAATGCACCTAATGGAAGGAGAGTTACCTACCTCTATGTCAGGAAGCTGTGGAGCTTGCATTAATGGGAGCCTGTACATATTTGGTGGATTTGATGATAAAGGATACAGTAATCGGGTAATGTTTTTTTTTAATACTGAGTGTATTGTAATTGAATGACTAACAACATAGACTTCTAACAAAGCAGAGAACACTTTACAGTTAAACAGAGAAAATCTAAGGCTGAAGTTTTGGTTTTAATGTAGAAGTGTTGTACTTAAATTGTGGATCTCATTCTGTAATCTCTGAGCCTGTGCACAACTCCCTTTGTCTTCACTGCTAGTTTTGAATGGGTTATGGTAATGCCAACATGTTAAGATTTCAATTTTTAAAACTTGCTAGTATTTCCCTAGACTAATCTTATTTCTATTGGAAAAAATAAGTTTGCCACCATAATTAGACTGATTTCACATTTTCACTTTTTCTTTTCTCTTTAGTGGCTTGTTGGTTATTTCTTTGGATGGTCAGATAATAATTAGTCAACATTAATAGGATGGCTGGTTTTCCTGATGATTGTGGACAACTGTTAAATGCTAATCATTAGTGAAATATAAGAAATAAGTTATTTTAGTCTATTAATGCAGTAGAAACATTAGTGTCAGTGTCAGTTTAGATTAGTAAACAAGTTCATATGCTTAATTTACAAGAAGCACTGATTTTTAAACCCCTAGTTTATACAGTCCAGACTAGGTCAGGCAGAAGTGTTTCAGGTTGGTAGAAACAAAGGGTGAAATACTGACCTTGTTGAAGTCAATTGCAAAACTTTAGTTTATGGGTGTCAAACTGGTTGGTCCCCTGGGCCAGATCTAGACCACAAAGTTCCTTGCAGACTGGGTCTGGACCCACCTCTGGCAACAAGGCAGGTGACCTCCAGGAGCCATGGGGATTAATGCAACTCTTGCTTAGCCCCCACCACTTCTGGCACACATCCCCAGTGGTGTTCCATATTCTGGATTTCAGCAAGGGGTCTCACCCCAGCTTGCCTAACCCCCAAATTCTGCACTTCTCTGGGAGCCCCATGGGCCAGATGACAAGGCTCTGCAGGACAGATGCAGCCTGTGGGCCCTGTGTTTGACATCCGTGTTTCAGCTGACTTCAGATGTGCAAGATTTCATTGCTTCTAGCTGTACTTTGCTTATGCTTAGTCAGCAGATCAATCTCTTTTCAACATAGTCACTACATGCTGTCAATTACATTGACTTTTTTTAAGGAATAATTAAGATTTTCTTTTGCTCTTTTTCATCACAGCTATTGATGAGTTGTGCTTGATTCTTCAAAATCATTTACTTTATACTGAAAATATTAATTTTTTCTTTTAAGCTATATTATGTTAATTTGCGAACAAAAAATGGAACCTATAGGTGGAAAAAAATTACATATTTTAAAGGTCAACCTCCTACACCACGTGACAAGCTTTCCTGCTGGGTGTATAAGGACAGGTAACACATCAAGAATATTTTTAATACCTATTAATCAAAGGGAAGAAGTGCTGTAACACAAGGCTGGTACTCAGGAGACTGTAGTTCTGATTATGACCGCCTATGTGACTTTGGAAAGATTTCTTCGCTTGTACCTCCATTTTCTGTAAAACTGGAATAATAGTACCTATAACTTCACTTTGGAGGGGTGTTGTCAGATTTAATTAAACGTTGTGAAGTGCTTTGAGAGTCTTGGATAATAGGCACTATGCCATATATTTTTATTTTATTGTTTTAAATTATGTATATATTTTTATTCAATATGTACATTTTTTGAAGGCTTAATATTTATATTGTAAGAGCTACTTGGCAAAATTGGTTTTTAAATGTAGCTTTAATTATTTAAGTATATTTAAGTAAAATATGTAAACATTTTACTTCAGGTTCCTACACTTTTCATGGGAGAGTCTAGATAGGATAGTAGCATTGGTCATTAAGAAAAAAGTAAATAGCATGCAAGGCAGTTTGTGAACACCATTGTAAATAAAGATGATATACAATGTGTTCAGAACAGAATAAAAATTTAATTGATTTCTGCATTCTGTGTCTTCCAGGTAGTGACACAATTACATGGTGTCTCTTAATACTGTATTTCCATTTCAAAATTCATTCCCTTGCTTTTGCAGGTTTGTGTCAGGCACATTTATGTGTATGGTGACTCTACCTGCATCATAAAATTAGTGTGTTAATTAATTAATTAATATGTTGCCCTTCCCAACAAAGCCTCAGGGTGGTTTACACTAAGAAAAACAGAATAACTTAAAAACAGGAGAGCAAGAGGGTCAAAAGAATTTAAAAAGGAACTAGAACATCATATATAGTATGAAATATTTTCCTTTGTTTACAGATTAATGAAGGGGAGGTTAATTGATTCATATTTCTAAATGAAATAAGAATTAAAAGGTGCAGTTTATCAAAATACTAAACTGAACTTTCATTTAAAACAAATTGAGTTCTTCAATTTTTTTGTTCTTTCAGGTTAATATATTTTGGTGGTTATGGATGTAGGAAACACAGTGAACTGAGTGACTGTTTTGATGTTCACGATGCATTTTGGGTAAGAGACCTGTGAAACTTGTTACCGTTTTAGAATGGGTAGTTCCTTTTGATTATTGAAGAATACTTGTTGCACTGCAGCCAATTGGTATGAGAGATTCTGTTTTCTCTTTAATTTGTCACTATGCATTTTCATCAATATTAACTTAGAACTTAATCTTCTATTTAAGATTGAAGTCACAGTTGTTTTTCCTACATATTGTAGGAACACAAGACTGCGTTTTCCAAATAAAGGGACATAAAAATATTATTCAAGTAGAAAATGGGGGATATTTTATTCAATTCTAAAATTTCCATTTAAAGAAAATTCTAGCATTGATTTCCTTGAAGTTATAGTGGGAAATATGAATATGGAACTTTAAATATATACAAATATCTTCACTTATTGAATTATACACAATAAGCATCTTTATTTTAAGATGTCTGACTTATAGTATCCTAATTGGAACATGAATAAGCAGACTCTGTGTGTGTGAGCAACTGTTACTGCTATTAACAAGAGCTAGATGAGCATTAAGAACAGGTCCCTTAAATTAATGGTTCTCAACTTTTTAAATTCTGGGACCCATTTGCCAAGATCAGTGGCTTGTCCTGACCCACACCCCACTGGCGCTGCCAATACCTGACCCAAAGTCCCTTGCCAGAGCCCCTCACCCCCATGTCACAGCCCCTTATCCCCCTCTGGGCCATGATGATGATGCCCCTGACTTCCAATCTACAGTCCCATGCCTCTGACCAGCCCTGCCAGAGGACCTCTGGATACCCCCATCCCGCTTGGGCTGGAGCATGAGTAGTGAGTGCAGGCCCCTACGTGTATGGGCACCGGCCCCGTGCCGGCCATCCAGGCATGCAGCTCCCTGCTGCAAAGAACCACCCCTGCCTCTTTCCCCTGCTGAAGGGTCAGGCACCTTCTCCTTACCAATACTCCTGCCCTGCTGCAGCCCTTCATCTGGCCATCGTCCTCAGCACTCATGCATGTACGCACATACACACGCACACATGCGCACCCTCCTGACAGTCCCCTGAACTTCCATCCCCTGCTCCCCATACACTTATCTGCACCCAGTGGCTGGGGCTGCTCCCATGACTCAGCCTCACTGTATGCTGGCCACGTGTGTCTGCCCAGGTAGATGCACGTGCACCCACTGGCTCCAATTGTCCCAAACGACCCACTTTTGGGTTGCAACCCACCAGTTGAGAAGCACTGCCTTAAATCATATATTAGCATTAACCTACAAGAAAATATCTTACCAAGAAAGTAAACAATTTGATTATATTAAGCACATTCTGCTAAGGCTAGGGACAGAAGCTACGCACAAACTGGCTTAAGTGATCAGGAACTGGTTTAAACCTGTAACAGAACAGAAATTCAGTGCAGTTAAACTGCTTTAAAAATTCCCAAAATTGGTTTAAAGTAAACCTGGATGGATGCAATATCAGACTTAACTGATTTAGGTCAGACCGGTTTATGGAACTTCTTTCTCAGATCCTTTTCTGTTACAAGTTAACTCACAGCCCTGGGCTGCGTTCTCTGCTCCAGCACGTGTACCCCCTGAGATCAGCTGTGCACCCCCTGGAAGCACCAACAGCGAAACTGGAAGTACCAGCGGAAGTGCCCCCGCACACTTGGGAGGCACCAGTTGCCCATGGGGGGGGAGGGGTAAACCCCCACTGTGGGCTTCTCCCCTGCCTGGGAGTCAGCCCCACTGGGCTTGCCCCCCACCCCTGGCTCTGTACCTAATGCAGGTGGGGTGGAAGTGCACAATGGGGGCTTTATTCCCCACGCCCAAGCTGGGAACTGGGCTTATCACCTGGCCACAACCCTCCTCTGCTGGCAGACCTGCTGGGGGATGGGGGCATTTCCCCCCACTCCCTCCTCAGCTGGCCTGCTGCCCCAGGAGGGGGCATGGCTAGGGGACCCAAGGAGAGGACATGGCTGGGGGACTTGCCCGGCTCTGGGTGGGTGGAGGGTGGGGACAGAGGGACAAAAGCCTCACTGGGGGCATCACCCCTCCCCCCTTGCCAGGGAGACCCCAGCTGGTGGTGGCGAGATGGGGTTTTCTCCCCATGCCTGCTCCTTAGCCTGCCTGGGGCTGAGGAGGGGGAGTGACTGGGGGACTTGTCCAGCTCTGGGCATGGGGGAGAGAAGGTGAAATTCTCTGCTGGGGGCTTCCCCCTTCCCCCATGCCGGGGCAGTCCCAGCTGGGGGTCCAGTGCCAGGGTGGGGGCAGTTTCCCCCATTCCTTCTTCTCAGCTGGCCAGAGGCTGAGGAAAGGATGTGGCTGAGGGAATCGCTGGGCTCTGGGCTTTGTGCAGTGGTGAGCAGGCTGGGAGGCCTGCTCTAGCATCCTCCAAGTACTGGTATGGGCCACTAAAGGGGTCTGGCTGCCTTTCTGGGTTGAAAAGTCATTTCACTTGCTTATTGGTTCAGTCTAGGGGGCAGTTCAGAGAAATCTGCAGGATGAAATGGATTCAGCCTCAGGCTTTTTGACTGTCTGTACTTAGCCTAAAAGTTTAATAGTAAACTTTTCTAAATCATGGCAGTCTAAATTCTGTTTTCAAAAGTTTCTTCAGCATTTAGAGGCCCAAATCCCATTCCCTTTCAATGACATTTGCACTGCAAAATGTTTAAATCATTTTGAAAATGTTACTAAGGGTATATTGTTAAAATACAAATAAGGACATGAATTTCCTCATAAGTCATTTACTTTCTTTTAACTTGTCATTTTTATGCCTAAAACTTTTTGACAAACCACAGGAATTGTGAGATTAAATTTAAAATTATATTTAAAAAATGTATTTAACTCTCCTGTTTCAGGAAGGGCAAATATACTGGGGATGGCACAATGATGTTCATGTCTTTGATACAAACACACAAACTTGGTTTCAGCCAACAATTAGAGTGAGTATTTTTGTAAATGCTTAATCATTCTATACATAGTTTTGTAACTGCCACGTATTGAACAATTACTGGACTTCAGAATTTGGAAAATGTTAGAATTTCTTGGGCTAAAAATATTGAAGTACTTATGTTCTCCTTGTCTTACAACACAAGAACAAGGGAACAGTCTAGTAAAAGGTGGCGGATGCTTAACTGATAAAAGGAAATACCCGTATGAAAAAGTAATTGGACTGGGACTTATTGCCACAGGTGCTACAGAGGCCAAGGGCATAGCAAGGATTCAAAGAGGGGTTGAATATATAGATATATAGATATATATGTATATGTATGTATGTATATATGTATATGTACGTAGAGGGTCTATTTGTACAGGGGTGTATATGTAGGGAACATTATGTTTAGCATAGGGGGAACATATACACCTGAAGAATGAGTACTGTATATTTGCAGTTGCTCTATTTTATATTTTTATTTCATTAAAGGTTTAGTGTTACAAAAGCTCTAGCAAGCTTGTAGCAAACTGATGCTACTTACCGGCTATTAGAAAGGTACCTGACATCATGTGTATAAAAACATCTATTACCTTGAACAATCTCTCAGTACAAAGGAATGTACAATGGAATGTAATTTTTTTTTATATAAATTAACATTAGGATCAAAGCATAGCATAGAGCCTCATAACGTTCTGGGAGTGCTTAAGTGGCTTTTGTGTGGTGTTCTAATGTTCTTATAAAACTAGATGTCGGAGGAAATGTACCTCTGAAAAGTAAGACCCAGCCTTGCAATTTCTATTTCTTATTTACAAGGGACAAACTCTCAATAGTATCATCAATGGATACTGCATAAAACTGTTAAGGATCTGATTTCTAGTTCAGAACTGTCAGGTGATGCTTTGCACCATAGAAAATCAGGCCCCCACAGAACTTACTCATCAGTGCTCTTGCAGACTTATATGAGGGAAAATTAAAGCGAGTCACTGGAATTTCACTGGCAGTAAGCTGGAATAATGTATTGCTTTGATAAATCAAGCCAAAAGAGAACAAAGTAAACACCAAAATGCACAGGAATTTAGTGTTAACTTTTTTTTGCAGCATTTAATCTAAATGGAGTCTTGGATGTTCTTCTCAAATTGTTTCTTTTTACATTTTCAACTTTGCAAATGTTTTGGAAAATAAAGGATCTATTTCAGTCCTCTTTTTGCAATTTATACCTGATTGATTGCAGCCTTAACTGGTACTGTACAGGGTAACATCTTCAAGTGTCTTTGCATCGTTTCTTTCAGGGTGGAGAGCCACCTCAGCCTCGAGCAGCACATACATGTGCTGTGCTGGGAAATAAGGGTTATATCTTTGGAGGACGAGTACTGGTTAGTACCTATTTAATGAATAATTAATTTGTAGTAATGTAATGTGTTTGCCAGTTACTTATTGATAGCAGTTTATCTACATAGCACCAATAAAGCCCATAATGTCTGTGGTCCTAGCCAGTATATTTGTGAGAGGTGTCCCTAGATGCCTTTTTTTCCTCTGTGTGCCCCACAAAGGGTAGTAGACATCTGGTCTCTGTATTCAGTCTAGATGAAAGAGGCACAAATCCCCCTCCAAAAAAAAAGGAGGGTGGATGTTTGTTTTTTACCTGCCTCCATAATTGCCAGCTGAGGTGCCCTTTTTGGCACAATGTGACTGCGTTATGTTTGGCATACAGCTGTAGCTAAATGTCAAGGGATCTCCATTTTTCCATTTTTATATAATTTTTCGCACATTGTCTAGCAAGTGCAGAGAAGAATCTAATCAAACATTTTTAGAGCAATTTTTTAACATATGTTAGGGTAGTTTAACTAAAGTTGCTTCATCAAGCCCAAGATAAAACATTCACATAACGGATTATTATTGCATAAGTTTTTACTTTCAGCTGGTGGGTAAATGTCACACACAAAAGAGAAACTCATATCAATCAACATTGTACAGCTAGCAGTGGTTAGTCACATCAGTTGAATATAGAACCCATGGGCCATTAAGAAATATGACAATACATATGTTGTTTTATAGGATGTTTAAGGATGCATAAACTGCTTAAAAACCTATAACATTTGCCTGGCTATATATTACCACTGGTATTTCAACATCATAAACCACTGGCAGTATGATGAAAAAAATATTTAAAATATGATTTTTGATATGTCACCTTCAAGCAAATGGTGGGTTGTTAATATTCTGTATTAAAACAACTTTAAAGGCTTCTATATGGTCAGACTGTTTATTTTTTATATTTTAATTAATGATTTGTTAGCAAGTGATACATTTTAACAAATGTTTTAATTTTCTTTAATGCTGTCTCTCCTAAACAATGAGGGAATTTATAGCACTATCCACATCTCTCTCTGACTCTCACATGCAGTCAGATGCTATTACAGAGTTTACAATTTGGAGAAAATACTTAAAAAACCATAATATTATATACAAATGATTTTGTTTTAAAAGACATGAAAGTTACCAAACTAAGCTTTTCTCAGTTGGGAAACACTGAAAGTCAGCTAAGGAATCACTAATTGGCTACACTGAACATATGTAATGAGTGAGAGAGGGTCCTGTGATTTGGAGATAAAGCTGCTGGCCTTAGGTAACTGCAAGTAATATAGAACAGTGCAGCATGTGACATCAGCAACATAGGCAAGCACATCAAGCCTGTCCTCTCTCTCTCTCTGTCAGGGGCGGGCAGTTATTTTGAGCAGAGGGCCACTTACTGAGTTTTGGCAAGCCATCGGGGGCCACATGACAGGCAGTCAGGGCAGATAAATATTAATTTTCTAAAATTTTTAGGGGCCCCACGAGCCAGATAGAATTGTCTGGTGGGCTGTATCTGGCCCTCAAGCCGCATTTTGCCCACCACTGCTCTACATAGACCATCAAGATTGGTTCTTGGTCTCAGTCTTTATCTTCAACATACTTAATTACCTGGGCCCAATGTATCTTAATGTCTAACAAAAAATTGCCAAAACTTGGTAGTGAGACCAGCCATATAACTGAATTCAAAAAAGGATTAGATCAATTTATGGAAGATAAGTCCATAAGAAGCTATTAAATGTAGTAAGGATATGATCTCAGGCCTAGGACATCCTCAGAGCTATGGTTGCTGGTAACTTGGAAAGCATGACAGGAGGTATGGAGGTGATGGTGGATCACTCAATACCTACCGTTTCTTATATTCTTCCTCTAAAGCCTCTACAACTTGTCACTGTCAAAGATTGGGTTACTGAGCTAGGTGAACCTTTGGTCTGACCCAGTATGCCAATATGAATGAAGATCATGGTTGACAACTCTGCTTTTCAAGCAACATGGACAGGGCCGTCCCGAGGGATGTGCGGGGCCTGGGGCATATCAGCCTGTGCAGGGGGAGACAGGCCTGTGGGGTGAGCAGGGTTGGGGGAGGGGGGTGGCAGTGAGTGGCCAGAGCTGGCAGAGCTTGGTGGGGGGAGCCAGGGGGTGGCAGCGAGCGGCAAGGGGGGGCGAGGCTCCCCAAAGTGCAGGGCCCATGGCAGTCGCCCCAGTTCACTCCCGCTAGGAACGGCCCTGGCCATGGAATATTTTACCTTGAGAATAAGGATCATACTGTACTTTTTCATAGCTGATCTGAGATTACAAAATAAACTTTCCATAGAACCATTGAAACATTTCTAACTATATTCCAAGAGTAAGGTGTATTTCTTTGACCCCTCTCCTCTAACTTGATAGTAAAACATCCTGTGAGTTTACAAATACAATCTAAGGAAGAGGCTCTTTTGGCAATCAGAAAATTGCCCAGCATGTGGGTATAGTGGTTAATCCTCCTAGCCTGTCTCAGTTCCTGTCTGTGCTAATAGGTCCTTTCAATTTCAAGGCTATTATTAGGCCAGGAGTCATGAGAATCAGTATACCTTACCTTAGGAAGATGAACTTTTAAGTAATAGCGTGACAACATTAATAAGCCACTAAAAGGTGAGAGCAGGATGTTCCCCTATGAATTATCAAGTGTGCTTCCTGTTTTACCAATGGTTTATAAACAAATGAAATACCATCTGATGAAAGGTATTAAATACCCTTAATCACGTCCTATGATCTATGAATTTTCTACCGGGGTAGGTTTTTTTTCCTTTTATGATGTGTCTGGACCTCTTACGTGCATAGCAGCGTTGAGTTGCTAGTTGCATATTCCCTAGCTTCTACAAAACTTAGAATGAACTAGGAATATAAGAAAGTAGGATCAAATAAGACAAATTAAACATAACAGTTTTTAAATAACATAAATAGACCAAATTAAATTAATGTGTCCTGTTTACTATCTTTTAAATTTGATTTCTGTTACAGATACTCTGTCTTTTTCTTAAGACTTTACCCCTCTCTGTTGCCAAGCAACTTGGAGCCTTTTGTGGTGAATTAAGTTCAGCTGGCGAGTAGGGCGTTGTAAATCCCTTCCAATTACAATTGCATCCCACTCTTGTTATGATTATCAGTGAAGTAGCTTTTAGCAATATGGCACTGACTGCTTGTATAGTTTTTTGTGCGTCTGAAAGAGAAGGAAGCTGTGGTCCCCAAAAGGACTGCAAACTGAGATAACTGTGTAATGGAACAGAAGTTTTTATCGTGCCATAAAAATGTGCAAACTAGACTTAAAATGGCACCCACTTCAGCTGTCCGAATTCTCCTTCTCATTTGAGAGAGAATTTATATACTATAGCACAGTGTTGTTCCAGATAGTCTACAGATCCATTACAAAATGTCTTACTCCCACTTTATTTCCTAGGAGGCAGAAGTCAGACTTATCAATTAGGTTAGAGTAGGAGCTGACTAATCCATTTGAATTGCTTTGAGTTGTTGCAGGAAGGTTTCACCAGATTTCCTGCCAAGAAAAGAAACCAAAACATCCAGAAAAAAAAAGATTTTTAAAATGTTTTTTGTTTTTGGATTCTAAATATTATCTGGCAGCTGTTGCATAGTCTGAGGATATCGATTTTGTAGCAGAATTGCTGGAAACCCCCTTCTGACACAAAGGCAGCTAGCAACATCAATTTCCAGCACAGCATTTCTGAATGATCATCTGTCAGAAACACCTTGAAGACACCAGAGGGATAGAGAAGCTACCAACTGGAAAGGCTTACAACAATGCCCGGGCAAGCAACTCTCATGTGCTAGAGGTTGCCTCTGCTATATCTTCTGGGCTAATTGAACCATACCTGTCCTATGGCTTTTCTGTGCCACTCCTTTTGGGCTAAAGCAGTCTTGTTCACTGAGTATCAGCTGTGCCTCACCTTCTTCTCACTCCTTCATAAAACCCACTTTGAGGGGGTAAGAGGCAAAGCAACCCAGCCATGAAGAAACAAATAAGCAGTAAGGGACCTCTTGGCCCCACTATTTATTTCTGTTTTGCAGCTCCATTTAACAGTGTGTCAGTCAGTTCATATGGGACTCTGCCTTGTTTGCTTATAGGGTTCATTGCCGCGTGGCTGCTTATTTAGCTCTGCTTGTTAGACTGTAGAAATCAGAAATACAAAAAAGGGTGCTCCCAACCCCTCATCCCTGGGCTATCCACAGGCAGCTTCTGTTTCCTTAAGGCAAAAGAAAAGTTCAAGGAGCCCACTTGGGGACCATTTCAAGAGAGCATATAATTGTTTCTCTTATTTCTGTGTGACCACCTCTGCAGTTATTTCTGTAATGTAGCAGCAGATCTATTTTCGCTTCGTCCATGAAATCCTATTATCAATTTTCACTCTGCCTTACAAATAAGGGGGAGGGGAGAATACACTCAGTAACTGGGCCTTGTGAGGTTACTGTAGAACCAAGAAATGGAAAAGAAAAGGTAAAGGCATGAGTGAAGGACACTACAGCTTTTGACACAGTAGTCATTCCTCCATGGAGGAAACTTCTAAGCCTCATTTTCCCCAGTAAAATGCAAAGCAAGTTGTACAGGGACTCTCTCTTTCTCCTTTTCTTCTATTTTGCCATGATAGAAAATAATCTTTGCAGGATAAAGGCTCTACAAGGAACAGTAAAGGTCCAAGAAGTGTGAAGATGATCCTTATAATCGTTTTCCTAAGAACAAGGGCAGCTTTTTCCCAACTTGGGGCTAGAGCTGGTAGAGGAAGAACCTCAGAATCAGTGTTATTTGGAGGAGTCATTTGAAACTGCTCTTGAGAGTATTATGTGGACTCTATTCTACCAGGAAGCCTCTTAAGAATGAAATTGGAGGAAGTGAAAGAGGAGGGGCATTAGTTCACTCACAGGTAAATCTGCTATGATTTATGCTTTGAAAAATTAATGAAATTCTCATGTCTGGTCAATGAAACGTTTAGTCTTTAATTAAAGAATATTGTAATAACAAAAATAAAGTCATCTCAACAGCCCTTTATTCATCTGCTGACTTCATTGTATGCAAGATCAGTGCATGCATGGTCAGATTCCCTTTGCCTACTCTTATCATTCAAGATCAGAAGTTATTCCGGAGTGGGAGCCTTCATTTAGAAAGATTTCCTTAACAGTAGCTGTTGTGGGAGATGCAAACTCTTTGAGATTTTCAGCCTGAAATTCACAGTCAGAGCAGTGAGCTATAACTCTGTGTCGTAGCACCAGGTCTGCCTGGGACCATGATGGAAAGCCGGTTCCCAGGAAAATCAGGTACTGCTCACTCTTAAGTGTCCCAGGTAGCAGGCACTTTAGTCACTATAAATGGAGCTGCTATGGAACCCTTTTTAAATAAATGTGAACTCTGAGGAGGCCTTCTAGCTCAAAAGGACATGCAGACCTTATTACTGATCTTGGCACACTGATCCAGCTAAGAATTATAGTAAGGATACCTCACTAGCTGACTGAATACACCAAGTGGTATAAGAAACATAGGAGATGTTGCAGGAAAATACTCTGCATTTTTCCCAAGCGATTATGATTGCAGACTGGGTTTGTGTGATATGGTTCCTTAAATGGGGGAGCAAATGGCAATAAATGTTGAAGAGCTTTATCAGTGCTGTATTAGAAGACTGAATCTTAGGACAGATATATAGTCTGCATGCATTTGGAATCAAGTGTAACCTAGAACTGGGGTATTAAAATACCCCTCTTCCATGCAAAATAAAGACTAGAATATGAGGCACCAGAATATGAATACAGTATAGAAATATATTTTTGCTTCCAACTGGGGTTGTTGATTTACCAGGGAACAAGAAGGCTTCCCTTTCTAGTATTTAAGCCAGAGGAACCATTAAATAGGAGCTCTTAAACGGACTCCTTTGGAAGTCATAGTTTAGGATGGGGGTTCTAAATTCCAGCATAACCGCTATTTCCATGTTTATTCTATGAGTATTTGATCTAAATAACCTCTACCCATGTATTATATGAATTTCCCAGAAGGGATAGCTTAACTTCATATACAACAGATAGTGCCTGTTTGCCTGAAAATGTTTTCCAAAATGTTAGTTAACATTACGTTTTCCTTGGACACAACAGAGTTTATGTATACTTATGCTAAAATGACAGCATGCTTCTGGAAAAAGCACTGCAATGAGACTTTAGTCTGGAACAAGATGGTATGTCAACTCTGTCAAGAACCAGATTGATGCCATGCGGTCATTATTACTTCTGGGGACCTTCAGAGGTATCTACCTCCACAGCAGATTATACCTATCAGAGGAGAAAATTCAGAAACCAGTGGTCACAAAGAGCAGTGTCATTTGTTCTCTAGTTAAATTTCTCAGTTCACTGTCTTGGATAAGAACAGATGTCTGGCCATAACATTCTGTTGTGAGATTACACATTTTCAGAAATGCGTTAATTTCTTGAGCTCAGAGTATTCATCCCTTGGTGCCATTGTCTTGTTAAGGTACAGAAAACTTACCGTATTTTGGAATTGGGGAAGGTTGGTTGAGAAAATCTATGCCAGTATCAACACCGATGAAGTTCACAGAGGGAACAATTTTGTCCAAAATTAAATAATAGAACATGATATCAGTGGGCTTCAACACCTGAATAATAACTTTTATCAGAGTGGAAGAAGGAACTAGATAATCAGCCTGACTATGAGATAATAAATCTTTCTGTTCCAGAGGAAAAATGAAGGAAAAAAAGAAATCTGTATTCACAAACACTGACAGGGAGGAGATAAATATCAACCCAGCTGATTGAGAAAGTAAAGGATCTATCTGGGATAAAGGCATATATAGCCCAAGATCTCTCATTAGAGAGTAGTCAAGCCTTGACTACCTCCCTCTCATTACACCTGTAGCCCCCTTCCTCCTCCCCTCCACAACAAACAGTTCCCCAATTTATACTTTCTGTGGATAAATTAAAAAGCTGTAGCTACAGTAATGGCCAAAAGAATTATAGTTTTTCTGTTCACAACCAGAGGCACAACCAGGCAGTTCTGCACCCTGGGCTGCTGTGCAGTTTTTGTGGGTGTGTTGGTTGCCATGGTGTTGTGGCTATTTCTGCAACAGCCCCTCAACAAAAGTGGCTTTCGTGGCTGCTATGCTGGTTGCCCCCCTCGGTTACACTACTGTTCACAACCATTCTCCAAGACAGTCTAAGTGAATGGGAGGGCCCAGATTTCCCCAGTAGGTCCTGCTTCTTTAATTCCTTCTGATGGCATCTGCTATACAGCTCTGACTCTTTTCTGAGAAGCAATCTGCTCTTGTCAAATTTGTGTCAAGATCAAGAAAAAATAAATCCAACTGCATTAACTGAGAGAGATCAGTTGCAGAAAGATATTCAAGTGCGCTTATACCACCTTTTTTTTTTAACCTGATAAAATATTCCACAAGCAGAATATCTTATGTCTGTATGTGTGTACAGGATTTAAATCGGCCTAGTTGGATCAAGTCAATGCAAGGGCAAAATATATTTTGCAACTTTTACAATGAAGTATGAGAGTCCAAGTGATAGCCATTTCCAAGTCATTGGAGTCAGCAAGCATATTCTGGAGCAGCTTTGTTATCCAGACATAGGAATAGTTTGAGTTGCTATGCTTCTTTAAACTATGTATTTGAGGATTACACCCAGCAACTACACTTTCTATTACATGTCCTAAACACTGGGCACGTCTACATGTGTGCGTTAATGCATTAGCACAGCCTAATTTGCATTGATTTAGTACCTCATATTGGTGGTACTACATTTAATGCACACTAGTAAAAGCTCATTAATGCACTTTTGGGCCCTTGTCAGAAGTGTTCAAGATTTTCTGCCTTCAAAGGCTGTCATTCTGGCATTCGCTTTGGCAAGGGCTGTTTACAGAAGTTAAGATGTTATTGAGGAATGGCAGTATTGCACCCCTCGTGAGAGGCAGTGTGTGCCAACACAACAGTTATTCCCAAAATAAACTTGCTTACAAGAAATTTTATTTTCCATCCATTTTGTCCCCATGCAGAGCACCTAAAAAATAAAATTGCTGCTGAGATTTCAGTTAGTAGAAGATTAATTGGTACATTTTTAAAGTTTTCAAAGCTAGAAGGCCTTTTCCTTTTAGAACATCATTGTACATTCATGTAGAGTCATGGAAGTTTCCTGGTCTGAAGGATCATAACAAACATACAGGGTGCATCTACACATTACCCTACGGCAATATAACGGCGCACTACATTGCCATATAGCATGCTATGGTACGAAGCAATCACATGTATCTACATGTGATCACCAGCTACGTTGTCATAGCAGTGCGCTCCCCAGCAATAGTGCACCACCATGGCAATGTAGCTGGGAAATGTACCTGTGCATGGCGAGCATGGCACAGTAACAACCCATACTGCATCATGTTTTAGTACTTCTAAAAGGAAGTACTTTTACTTCATACATGGCACTGTAGCAACATCACCGTATGGCAACATGTAGGCATGCCCACAGAGAGAGAGATGTAGGATGGCTATTTGATCTTAGTTTCATGCTTTACAAATTAAATGTACACACCTCCATCCCTACATAACTGAGGGTAATTGAAGTATTTAAAGAGAGAAGATAAGGGAGATGGAGATCTATCACCTCGTTCACCATTTCTTTTCTCTCCTGACACTACCACCGAACATTTGCATTATAATGAACCTGAGAGGATTTTTCCTGACGAGAATAGGAACATTTATCTTACCTGAATATTTATTTTCTGAATGGGAGGGAGCCCACCTATCCAGCACAGGTGGCACAAGGATTATAGTCCTAAAGAAAGCTTAAATTGTGTTGTTCTCCATTTTCTTTATGGGTATAATATAGTTATATGCCATATAGAAGTTGAGGTGGAGTTTGAAATTGCTTTACAGTGGGAAGAGTTTAGAAATTTCTTGATCATTTTAGTAATCTGAAAATTAAAATCTAAAGGAATTAGCTCTATGAAACCAACCTTAAAGTATCTTGTCTTGACTTGCTGGCTGGGAGTAATCACACTCACTACTTTGATTGGCAAGCCTGATATCTGGCTCTAAAAAGCAGCAAGTAGGAGTAAGAACCATTGTAATGGATCCGTGGATTTTCCTGCTAGAAAAAAAGGAAATTTTCAGGTAAGGTAGGATAAATTTTCCTGTTTCACAGCTGACGGGTTGTGATGCCCAGGCGATTCACAGAAAGAAATTAGGGTGGTCACAAGTCATTACAATTTTTTTTTACAATCTAAAGCAAATGAAGTTTTATCCTCCCCTCTTCTACTTTCCCCACGCTATACATATACTGTTATTCTGAAAAATTAACTGTTCTTTGTTAGCCTCTCGAAACATATACACAGAAATATACACGCTTATTGTTATTTATCAGGGATCCATGTTTTGCTTTTACTTTTATAATAGATATTAAAGAGTTACACAGATTGTTTGACTTTAAATATGAATATTAAATCTTTCTAGCAAAAAAAAGCCAGTGTTAAAGTTATGTTTAAAAAAATGTCTGTTTACATAAGAATAAATTCTGCTTGTCTGGAATTTTCACAACACTTAACTACCTGGCTACAATGTTCTTTTAAAAAAATGTTACTTAAAAAATATGTTTTAGGAAATATCTTTCTGAAATATGTGTGTTATATTAGACAATTAATAAATCATCTGGGATTTTGTTGTTTTAGCAAAGTAGAATGAATGATTTGCACTGTCTGAACTTAGATACCTGGACTTGGTCTGGAAGGTAAGTTTGTGTGGTACTTAAAGTTGTGTATAAGAGAGTGGAACTATTTAACAGTATGTTTTAATGCTACATTTGATATTTTAATGTATGTTTAATGTATGTTTTAATGCTACAAGTTTTTCTGGGGAGAAAATTTGATCCGGGGACTATTTAAATAGCTGGTACATTTTGTCTTCAGTTCACTAATGCACTTTTGCTAGTGCGCATTAAATTTAGTACCTCCATTGTGAGATGCTAGAAAAAGACACATTAGCCTATTTTAATGCACACTAGTGAAAGTGCATGGGGTTTTTTGTGATGCTTTAATGCACACTTAAAATAGGCTAATGCGTATTAAAGGGCCCATGTAGAGGTGCCCAGTGTAACTTAATATGATAGTTGCTGTTAAAAAGCTCTCTATTGTGCTCCAAAGCACCACTGATGGTAGGGAACACAATTTCAGCATAGCCTGTAGTGATTTAACTGCCTCATTTTCACATACAAGTATGCCATTTTACTGTTGCATGTTTTTTGAACATGGTTTATACTACTTTTCTAAAGCTTTTATAGGTTAAACAGGGAAAGATGCATTTCCATTTTCTCAAGAAACAGTTCTTTAAACAAAAATAATAGGATCTAAAATGGGACAGCATCCTACATAGTTATTTTTCAACAACATACCATATTTTTCTCACATGTGCATGCACCTTTTTCCAAAAATCAGCTGCTGGAAACTGGGTAATAGCAGTATCTGTATCCTAAGTGTCTGGTGGGGAAAGTGAAAATAAAGCTGTACTGCTCCATGGAGAACAGCAGAATGACCATGCTGGACTATCTAGTAGACCTGTGCGAATAGGGAAGAATTTGATTTGGATTTGGCCGATTCAGGGGACAGTGATTCAATTTGGTGATTCAGATCACTGTCCCGAATTGATTCAGCCAAAGCAACTTTGGAAGATTTGGCGCTGATTCGGAGAGATTCGGTGATTCAGATCGGCCGGGGAGAAGCAGGCACAGCCGGGTGGCTGCAGGTTCTTCTACGGCTCTTCCGGCTGTGCCTGTCTCTCCATGGGTGGGAAGAGCTGCGGGAGAAGCCCCCATGGGTGGCCTGCCCAGCCCCAGCCTATTTCCAGCACTTTATAAAAAATTTAAAAAAAGCCCCGTACTCACTGGCTGCAGGAACAGCAATTGGGTCCTCTGAGAGCTCATGGCAGAGCCTCCCCCCGCAGTGCGGGGCAGCGGGGATTGCCCCCCACACTTGGCACCCAAGTGACAGCTGCCCCATGGGGTAGGTGCAGTGTGGCTTGACAGGGTGCCATGCACTGCCTGGGAGCTGGGGCTGAGTGCTGCCATGCTCCGGCTGACTGCTAGAGCCACCCCAGCTCCCAGACAGTGTGCGCGATGGGAGGCAATCCCCACTGCCCTGCGCTGCATGGGGGGGCTCTGCCATGAGGACCCAGAGGCCCCAATCGGCACTCCCGCAGCAGATGAGTGCAGGGCTTTTTTTTTTTTGAGTCTCAGGTGAGGGATGGGGCTGGGTAGGGGAGCCATGGGGGCTTCTCCCGCGGCTCCCCCAGCTGTATCTGCCTCTGCCCTGGTGGGGAGAGCTGTGGGGGCCATACCCTGCTGCCTTCAGGGGGAAGGGTGGTGCAGCAATGCACGTATGGCTTCCTCCGGGCAGCAGCAGAGCATAGCCCCTGCTCCCAGCGCTGCTGCGCCTGCATTAGCACTGGGAGCCGGGGCTCTGCCCTGCCTCCACTTGCTAGCTGGCGTGGGGAGGGTGGACAGAGGACAGCGGCAGCGCTGGGAGCGGGGACTATGCCCTGCTGCTGCTTGCCCCCTTCCGCCTGAAGCGAGGCTTGCCCACATCCTGCCGCGCCCCCCAGCTGGGCAAACAGCAGCAGGGCAGAGCCCCTGCTCCCAGTGCTGCCATGCCTGCGTTCCACACTCCCCCCCCCCCCCCCCCTCTCTCACACGCCCCCCCCTGCCCCCCGCCCAAAGGGCAGGAAGTCAGCTGGGGTCATAGGATCCCAGCAAGATAAGCATCCAGTTTCATCTTGAAGGTGTTCAATGAAGGCGCTTGAACCACCTCCGGTGGCAGGCTGTTCCAGACCTTGGGGGCTCGGACAGTAAAGAAGTTCTTCCTTATGTCCAGCCTGAAATGATCTTGAAGTAGTTTGTGACCATTCGACCTCGTCATCCCTTGGGGCGCTCTGGTGAACAAACGTTCCCCCAGATGCTGGTGGTCACCCCTGATAAACTTGTAGGTGGCCATCAGATCACCCCTGAGCCTGCGCTTTTTCAGGCTAAAGAGTCCCAGGGCTCTCAGCCTGTCATCGTAGGGTCTGCTTCCCTGACCTCTGATCATGCGCGTGGCTCTTCTCTGGACTCTCTCAAGCTTCTCCACATCCTTTTTGAATTGTGGAGCCCAAAACTGGACACAATCCCTCCCCTCCCCACACCCTTCCCTCCCCCGTCCCCCAAGCCCAACAGACTTACCAGCTGGAGGCAGCTGCGTCAGCTGCCTGTTCAGTCTATGGCCAAATCTCTGAATTGGCCATAAACTTTTCTGAATCTTTTTCTTAATCGATTTGGATGTTTCAAATCGATTCAGAGCTTTTACTTGGTCTCCCAATTCAATTTGGATTTGGAGATTTGGTCCCCAAATCGAACCGAATCTCCTCCAAATCAAATCAGCTACCGAAGCTTTGCACAGCCCTACTACCTAGTTGCTGGTACTCAGTTACTTATTGCTACTTACCAGTATTTTGAAGGAAAAGTCTTTTTTCTTCCTTCTACCTTTCAAAAATAAGGTACATCTCTTGTTCTGGGGTACGCTGTGTGGGAGAAACTATGTTATTTGTTGTTCTTTGAAAGTAACATTTTTGATAGAATACACTGAAGATAAGGAATCATGATGAACAGGAACAAATGATTTATTGTGATTGTGTCTGTTCTTCCTGAAGTTGTCTCTCACTGTGCAAGACAATGGAATACAACTGCTTTGATGATAAGTCTGTGTGGATTCCACTCAAGGTGCTATTTTTACCTGTCTCTTTGTACCTCTACCTTATCCTAAAATTAACCTAATTACAGTTCCATATTCTGTGTAAATTACAATATGTGTAATTTGTGATCATTACCAGTTCTACATTCTGTCATTCAGCTTCTCCACAGCACTGGGTGTTACTACAAAATGCCTAGCTGTTACAGAGTTGTAGCTGAAAAGACAAAGCATTCATATTTATCCATATATAGTTTGGTTTCTCAAACGCTGGCCTTAATAGGATGTTTCTATAACCCTGAACTTTGTTCTTTACCTGTTGTGACAGTTCGGCTTTGTGGCAAATTTTAAAAAATTGTCCTTCAGCCTGTCACTAGAATGTTGATTTTAATTAACTCCAAGTCAAAAAATGCATAGCTTCTCAAGGACTGATTTTGGTATGTGCAGATGATTTATACCCAGAATCAAAATGAACACATCAACTACAGTAAGAACCAGCCTTGGACTGCTAAGACACATGTCAGTGTGCACACAACACCCTTAACCATATTTATGGCACCTACATCAATTTACAATGCACGGTACTGTAAGTATGGTGTATCGCTCCATGATGTATTATCAAGTAGGTTTGCATGTTTTCTGTGACTTATACTCTGTCATCACTGGGCCTGGTGCTCAGAATATACCTCTTCCTACAAACCTGCTAATTACAGATGCATGTATAATAATATTCAGCAGATACACAAACCTTTTTGCAGTACAAAACTTGGCCCCAAAAGAATGTGATTCTGTGTGTATATTCTAGTTAAAATGCATCAAAACATTCCTACCTATTTTTAAAAATTCTAAAATGCAGACTTTTACAAAATACTTCTAAAAAGCATTATATAAACAAGCAAGGCAGCATCTGCTAGAAGCCAGCCCTAATGGAATTGGCAATCCTGAAGTAATGATGTCATTAAAATTGGATGGTCAGTGACCCTCTGTATCTCAAGAACGAACAGTGATTTGTCATATTTCTCTAGCAGACAATTTATCACCAACCACAAATGTTTTCGGAAAGCTTCCTCATCACTCCAACATTTCACTGATGGCAAAACCACAGTATAGATTTCTTTGCCTCCAAACTGAACATGAAGTTTCTAGTTTTCCAAGATCTGAGAGCCATGACACTTTGCAAGGCAGCTTTCTTGCAGTGTAGGAGCAAGGTTCCATATACACATATCTGCTGAATTCTGATAATTAGGGTACTATGGAATATAAGACAAGATGCAGCATCTGGTCAGATAATCCCCTCAGAATGTCTACTTAGGCATGATTGTACTTCTGCACAGTGAGAGCCGAAAATCACAGAACCAGTCACAGGCTTCAAACGGATCCAAAATTAGATAATTACACAATAGTGTACTTGAGAGCTAATGACAAGGATTTCGAGTACAAGAATTCCTACTGAAAAATTGAAAGGTCTCCACATGCAAGTTTCCATAGTCCTGCATACAAGCTGACCAATTTAATGTGTCTGTCCCCAAAATCCATGATATTTTTTACATTTGAAACTCTGTGGACTGCCATTTGCATCATTTCCATTTAGATCCATTCACTGAAACAATTTTGACCCTGCTGCCTCCCCATCTTGTCATATTCTGTTTTCTTCTATCTCACTATATCTAGATTTATCAAGGGATTACTCCATAATTACCCACCAGTTAATGGCCTCCGCTAGCATAGAATCTTAACATTGTATCGATCAGAGGGGTTGGCAAATTGCAGAGACTCATGCTTGATCCTCCTCACGCAGCTGAGGTGGTGGTGAGATCTCATCCAAAATTTATTCCCACTGTTGTGTCAGACTTCAGTTTGAATCTATCTTTTGACCTCCCTGTTTTCTTTCCAAAATCTCATTCCTCTCCAGGAGAAAGAACTTCACATCTTGGATGATTTTGGTGCCGTGTTAAAGTATCTTGTTTGGGATGAACCTCTTTAGGCAGACCCCCATATCTTCATGGCATTTCTGTCTTACTCATCTTTTTCTACAAATTTCAAAGCTCATTGTTGTATAACACAAGCTGCCTCTTCTGCATGTTTTAGAAACATTCCTATACCTGAGTTCAGCAAGGCAGCGATTTGGAGTAAACTCCTTACTTTGTTTTAAACATTATGCTCCTGACCTGGATGCTAGATAAGATGTCATATTTTTTAGGACACTACGGGCACGTCCACACATACAGTTAATTTGAAGCAATAAGCTCTGTAGCAGTTTGACCTGGAGTAAACTACTCCCAAGCGCAGCACCTATATGTGTGCCTGAGGCAGCAGCAATTTGAGCTGGGGCAGAGCATTTTACACTAGGGCTGGAGGCACAGGGGTTGTGGGATCATCCCAGGCTCCACGTGGTGGCATTGGGTAGCGTCAGGGCTGTCTGGGGCATGAGGGTGCTAAAAGTGCAGAGCTGTATGGCTAGGTGGCAGGCAGGAGTCTGGCCCCCTGCTGAGTGGGCACGATTTACACCTGCAGTCAGTGTCTACACATACATTTAATCGCTGTTAATTATCCTGCCATTAGATAGTACTGTCCCTACCACTTTACTATCTTATGGTGGTGTTAATTAGTTTACTGCAGCCTAATAGTGTTGCATGTATAGACAGTGACACTTCACTCTGCAGCTAATTAGTCTACTCTGTAGTTAAGCACGCATGTAGACGTGGCCTGTTACAATGACTAGTGGTAGCTAGGACGCTACAGTCTGGCCTTCCAGGTAGGGCATTGCTTAGCAGTCATCTAGACTGGGAAACACAGGGCACATATCCAAAATAAAATAAAACCCTCATGGTAACTGCCTCTTTCTGGTGTTATCCATGTGAGTCACTTGACCTGCCCTCTACCCCTGATTTTTCAGATTTCTCTTTCAACAAAGATTCTGAATTGATGAGGGAAGCAAGGGATGATTATAACTGCTCTGTTCTTTATGTCGTTAGTGGGAACATGCAAAGATACATATCCAATACAGGTGCAGCCCAGTGACTGTTCAGACTCTTATCCCAAAGCACCTGAGACTTTTTTTGCACCTGGTGTGGGATCTACACAGATGACATCTGGAAGAACCGCACTTTTTATGAGACACAGCCATGATTTTTTTAAAATATTACAGATGTACACCTGCCTTGTTTTGCAATTCACATAGACCTGGCAAGCTGTTCATCATTCAAAGAGTACAGTTCTTTGGGGAGTTCCAAGAAACACCTCATCTCAGAAAATAGTTGAAGTTTCTCAAAAGGTGGCTTTCCTCCCTTCAAGTCTGGGTGAATCTGTGGCACTGTGATATGTAGCATCTTTTTGGATAAGAGGTAAAGCCAAAGTCCTGACCACTTACACTCATTAAAGATAACTCTTCTCAGGAACAGAAGAACTATAGTATTCTGTAGCTCCACTAGTTACATTTAGCTTGAATAATAGAAGTGAGTTTACCTATTTAGCCTGTGCATTTTCAGTACATTATTCTTCATTTCCTAAAATAAAACTGATCGTGTGCATTAAATAATCACATCACTGGTTTTAAAAAATCCTGCTATGAGTGTGAGATTTGTAAATATAATTATTGTAAATGGTATGTTCAGAGAACAATTATGGCTGTGTTAATTAGTTTACTGTAGCCTAATAGCATTCCACGTGTAGACAGTGACACTTTACTCTGCAGCTATTAAATAATAATAACTAATAATATTAAATAATGTAATAGCTTGTACTAATAACAATTAGTACAAGACTTTTTGTTTCAGTTTTGAACAGCATTGTGTTTTAGAGCGTAGTTGAGGTTTGCTCCAAGATAGCCTTTTCCATCAGAGGAGGGTCCCTGCCTGTTTTAGAATGCAATGAACTGCCAGACAAGTTTAGTTTTAGCATTCTTTTAAATTTTTTCTTGTTTGTTTTACCAAGAATTCATACTAATGGAGAGAAACCAAAAGATCGATCTTGGCACACTTTGACCTCTGTAGGGGATGACAAGCTTTTCCTCTTTGGTGGACTGAGTTCAGATAATGTTCCACTCAGTAAGTAATTTAAAGGTTTTTTTAGTGCTAACCAGGATGTTATACATATTCATCTCTATTTTGAAGCTGTTTTGTTCTAGGTGTTTTATGATTCTCACACTGCATGAATAGTTATTCATAGAGTTTATTATTTTATATAGCGCTGTAGATACACATAATACAGTACAAAGAGCTTAAAATGTAAAAGACAAGGGGGAAATTTTCATTCATTCACTTAATTGTCATCAATTGAATTGCACCAGTAATAGCACTAACAACACACAAATAATAGTTTAGAGATAATAGGTGTTTTTGGATAAATGTAGCATTAGTCACATGTCCCAGTTTGACCTATGCAACCTCCAAGTAAAAAGTTGGAGAACTTTTTACTTAAATGAAAAAAGAATAGTTGAGGTTAATGCCTAAACAGTAACCGATATAGGGAGAGAGAGATAAAGAAAGTGAAGGAATACTGAGGGGTGGTTTTAAGATTTATGAATTATCTGAGGCACAGCAGGCTTCACAATGATGAATATAGTTCTGTCATTTTAAAGCAGTCTTCCTAATTTGACTTGAATATTTTATTTTTTTAAATGTGTTTTAAGTCCAGATGTCGATGTAATTGACTTTTTCTATTGTGAACAAAAGAGAATTTACTGTGTTCAGTTATGAAAACATTGAAATGGTGGTTGTTAATTCATTAACTATAATGAGCAGTTTCTTGATGTGATAATATATAATAATGATAATATAAAACAAAAAGGTACTATTTTATTCCCCAAGAAGGAGTCCTAAGATGTATATTTTTCCTTATTTGCAGGTGATGGTTGGATTCATAGTACTACAACAAATGGATGGAGACAACTTACCCACTTACCGAAGAGCAGGCCTAGGTAAAAAGAAAGAAAGAAAGAACAGCATTTACTGAAACTACTGATTATTTTAAAACAGTTATATGTCAAAACATATTCCTTTAAAATAACGTATTTATCAACATATTTTAGAAACTGAGCTTAAACAACTTATGTTTTATGGTTTTTCATTACTATGTGTTGTCTGTTATCTTCAGTATTTATTATACATTATAATGAATGCTGGCATTAATAGTTTTTGTAAAGAAAGAACTTCATGTCAAGTCAAGCTGGCATTTTATTTCCAAGTACAAGTTTTACTTGGCTTTCATGTAGCATTTTCCATCTATAGTTCTCAAAATGCTATGCACAGGAAGGTATATAACATTTTTCATTTTTTTTCTTATGAAGAAACTGAGGTAGCGAGAGATGGAGTTATTTGTCCTAGGTAATACAGCAGGTCATGGCAGAGTCACAAATAGAAACTATCATCTGACCTCCTTTCCAGTTCCCTAGTTACACTTTCTCCCATAAAGTAGCTACTGGATCATATAAAAGTGACCCAGCTTTATATGATTGTCCTGAATGGGGCAGGCCAAAGAACCACTTGACAGGCACTCCTCCAGACCGTAGTTTAGAGTAATATATGTGAATCCTATGATCAGATTTTTAGCAAGTGGATAGATCTGAGACTGGTGAGACCTCACTGAAATTTGTTCTGTGATTGACTTGCACAGGCTTTCCTTCTAGCCCAGTAAACAGAATAAAGGCATCTGCTCTGGTCTATACCCAGGGTCCCTTTCTATGCTGGATTATTTCAAACTGGTGCAGAGCATTATACCTGTGCCTTGTGCCTTCATATATGCAGAGGATTAGTGCAGGACTTCTGCAATATAGAAGGTCTTTAATCCGAACCTCTGCCATGGAATGATTTGAGAACAGTTTCTTAAATGTGTAGGTAGAAATATTGATATATACATATATAAAAATGTAGCATATGTCACGTGCACAAGTTTATTGATATATTTACTTGAGTTTCAATTAAAACAATATTTATGGCGGTACCCCTAAAAATTCTGAATTATTTTTGTTTTGAATGATTCATAATAAATAATCTCTCTGACAGATCTATAAAAAACCTTTCCTCCCTTCCTCTCCCTTCCTCCCACTTTGAATCCCCTCCCTCCCACCATCTCCCCCCAGAATTAATTTTATGTTTAAGCTGTAAACTCTCACTGTTTAACTAAAGCATAAACTATGTCATGACTCTAATTGTAGGTAGAGAGACTGTGTGAAAAGATTGTTAATTCAGCTTATGCATTATGTAAATAACATGCTTTATTAGAATGTTTAGGTGATGATAAGTTAGAGCAGCTGTGAGAGGACATAAACTCTATCAGTCTATAGAAAAAGCATCAGGTTGCAAGCTAGAATGTCAACAAAGTCAAGGCAGGAAAGGCTTTCCAGTGTTCTTCGATGAGGAAGTCCAGGCCACAGTTTCCCTAATGCAGATAAGACAGAGACAGACCTATCTACAGGTATGAGGAAGAGAAAAGGTGGGATACAGTTTAGTGTAAGGAGAAGAGTGCATAATTACTGAAATGAATGAAGTAAGAAAATATGAATGCATTTTGAATGACAATTCCATTTATGCATACTTTTGTTAGTAGCTAAATAAACATAAGGGCCCCAGTTCTGCAGCGACTCTTATCCCTTCTTATCCCCTTTACTGGGGATAATGCTAGCAAAAAACAGCACAGAATTTGATCAGTTAATCCTTAAATAAATAAATGCAGCACAGTGGAACCTGTTTATGTGAATCTGATAAGTAAGTTTGTAAGATAAGATTTTTTTCCAAGCTATTTCATATACACAATACATTTCTCTTGAGCTTGATTTTGGTAAATGTGTAGCAAAAAGAAAATGATCCACATAAATCTTGGGTGAGGCAGAGATTGATGGGAGCTGACACAGAAGGGCCTGTGTTCTGTGACCGCAGTTTTAGAATCCAGGAATGAGAGTCAGCACCAAAGAACTCACAACCTCAGCTCAGTCAGTACTCTATTTATGAATTAATAATAAAGTGGAAAATGTTATAAAATAAAATATTTATAAGAACAGAGATATTTTATAATTATCTAATTTTTCCACTGTAGCATTTTATGTAGAGTACTGATAATTAAGTCAAAATATGTATAACTAACCTACAGAGAAGCGTGACAGGCACATTGATATATTGGTGTATAGGAAAATTGTTCAACAAAGCCCCTTCAAAGTAAAATGCCTAATCATATTGCTCTTCCCTACTTCTAATCTTCTCATATTGGTAAAGACGTGAATAATTTGATCTTTCAAATTTTATTTCTAAGTGTTGAAGCCTCCTGGAATGCTATATTTTTCACTAAAATAAAAGTTTTAAAATGTTTAAAGTTCTTCTTGGCAAGTCTTAGCATTTACAAAATGGAGTGCTCCTTTTAAGTATGTTTATTGTGCCCGTATTCAGTTTTCTTTTCACATGAATAAAAACACTGTCAGCTAATTTAGTTGTTTTACTAATAATAGGCAAATAACCATTATTATTCAGTCACTCATTATATTTATAATTTTTTAGGTTGTGGCATACAGCCTGTCTTGGCAAAGAAGGGGAGGTGATGGTATTTGGTGGAAGCAAAGATGATTTGCATTTCATGGACACAGTGAGTTAATTTTATAATAAAGCTCTAGTACTATCATAAAAATGACTTATATTAAATTCTATTAATTCATTAAAATGACTGAAAATTCATAAATGTCTGAACATTCAGGGTCAAATCTGCAGTTGTTATAAACCAACTTTTATATTGTTTATACATCATTGGCTTTAGTGGAGCTGAGTTGATTTACACCAACTAGAGTTGTGATCTTCAGAGTTCTGAATACACACACACACACACACACACACACATTTATATGTAATGTATATTATTTGGTAGTATTGCATATTGCATTAGTTTTTGTGCTTTAAGACAAAGTATGACCCATATGCAGAGCCCAGCATCCAACTTTAGTGGCGGGACTGAGTGCTATAAAAATGTGCAGGGCAAAAGCCATACAGGGTACGGACACATGTACATTTGTAATTATTTCAAAAGGGGAACATTTCAAAGGGCAAGAGGTGGTATGTTCTAATTGTTATGTGTAAAGGAGCTGAAAATGATTTAAACTCAGTAAAACCGCTCCAACTTCAACACTCCTTTGTCAAGGTTAAAGTTAGAGCAGATTTGCTGTGTTTGATTTGTTCTCAGCTCACTCTCGCACACAACAGTTAAAATGTACCAGGTGCTGCCCTTTGAAATACACCCCTTGTCACCAACCCATCCATGGGGTACCCCCAGAACACTGAGTTTTTCCCTGCTTTCCCATTGATTGTCTGCCCAAGACAGACCAAGGTTTGCCCTGGAATCGCTCCTCATCCCTGCAAGTTTCAGCTCCACTGCCATTGTGCCAGACCTCACAGCTGCAGCAAGGGAATCTGTCAGCTACAGATGGCTTCCCCTCGGGGTGTGAAAGAATTTTAGATCCCCCTTTCCATAGAATGTGTTAGGCTGGAATATCATTCACCCTGCAATCATGCTCTACCACAGGCAGTCAGTAAGGAAACAAAAGCAAAAAGATTTATTATATTGGAAGAAAAAATTATACAAGAAAAACTGACCATATCGTTGGAAGACAGAACAAAAAGACAAGTTAGGTATCTTACCCTCTCGTCTGAGTACAACGTAGTCCTTCAGAGAGTCCTGCCAGTATTTTCATGGATCAGCCTTCCTGTTGATCCTGCCAGCTCTGACCACTGGGGACCTGGACTCTTCCCCAAGCCTAGGATAATCCAAAATTAAAGGACAATTTTAGGTAGCCCCTAAAATGCCTCCAAGCCAGCCCTTTCTCCACCCCCATCAGTACTGTCCTAATTGCTCATGCCTGTCAGAATCCTCTAGAACAGGGGTATCAAAGATACGGCCTGTGGAGCCATATCTGGCCTACAGTACTGCCTGCTGTGTACAACATGCACTGGCCCCAGCCTTGCACACTACATGTGGCTTGCAGAACCTGTCTGGTGCACAAGGTTTCAGGTCGGTCTGGGGCACGTTCTGCACGCAACTCCCATGCCAGACCGACCCTGTGCACCGGATCTGGGCTGGTCTAGATTGAATCTACAGAACAGCCCTGCATACTGGATCCAGCATGCAGGGTAGGTGTGGTGTGGATGTTACATGGATCACTTGCCCCAGTGTGGCCTCATGTGCTGTGCATAGTACACCACAGACTGACTCCACATGCCATATGTCATGCTTGGGCCCAGAGCTAGGGCTGGCACATGCTGCATATGGTGTGTGGGGCTAGAGTCAGCCTGCACGGGTGATCCAGGGCACATGCTGTGGCTGCACCAGACTAGCCCTGTAAGCTTGATCTGGCACATCAGGCCCCACTCTGGCTTGTGGGTCCACATGGGTTTGACACCCCTACTGGAGAAATTTCTCTCCTATCTGGGGCAACTGAAATTTCTCTACGTAATGGCTCATTACTCAGAGATGCCTTTGCCATTAAGGGATTAAATTTCCCATTACTGACAGCCAGTCCCTAGGGTGCCCATCCCCACAATAACCCATCTGCCTGTGTTTGGGAGTGGCAGTTGTTCTTGCCCTAGTAACACAATGGCAAGCGATACTTAGCAGTTTCACCTGTGCCCTTTTCCTTAAGTATGCATCCCTCAGTTCCCTTGATTGAACCACGTTTAAAATCATAAAGATATGTACAGGCAGCATAGCATCAACCACACAGTGATAAAAGTGACATGAAGGAATACAGCATAACAATGGCCTTTCAACAAGGCCACACGAGCCATGTTAGTAAAACAAGCATAAGAGAAACTGCATGATGTTCCACAAACACCCCAAATTTTGGTGGGATTTGTGACACCCGTTTTGAACGGGCTCCATGTGTGTCCACACCCAAAAGGGCTGCAGCTAGTAGGTTCTAATTGTTACTGTGTGGATAAGCTGAGAATGATAAGAATGCAGAAAAAACCCTCCACCTTTACATTTAGATGAAGCAGAGTTTGTTAAAGTTGAAGGGTTTTTGATACATTCACATTGTTCCCTGCTTAGCCACATGTAATGATGAGAATGGAACAGCTGCTTCCCTTTTGAAGTGTCTCCAAGTGTACGCATGTCCATACTGATAGGCACACTGTTTACCACTTAAATCCATCCAGATAATCCCCAGAGGATGCTTTGCTAGCCTGTTTGCAGGAACAGATACTAGAAGGTCTAACAGCAGCTCTTCAATCATCTAGAGCAGTGGTGCTCTACCCTTAGGGTCAATCTGCAGATTGGATCGGGCCTTGGGTGCCAGAATCAGGCCCTATGCTGCCTTGCCAGGATTGGGCCCCACGCTGACTCCCCCATCCCCCCACGCCTAGATCAGGTGCCCTGTGCCCTGATTGGTCTTGTGCTGTTCCCTCCCAACTCAGCACTGCAGGATCA